AGAAGAAGGTAAGTGAATAGACTCTTTTGCCCCTTTAAAACTCACGTGAAAAGCACGTGTGGAAGATTCCGGTCAAAATGGTCTGAATATTCCAATTTTGAGGCACCGTGCAACAAAAACCGGAGTTTAGGTAAGAACGTGCAAATTTTTTTTGTTTGGGGGGCAAAGTGCAAAACGGGCATTTTTTTAGGGGGTAAACTGCTTTTTACTCTATAAAATTACTAAAATATCCTTGACATTTATAGATTCTCAACTAATTAATTAGGAGTGATTAAGGGTAAAATTGAAAATAATGCAATTAATGCTTCATTGAAAATATAAAATGACAAATAATTTGGGACAAAAGACATATAATATGGGACAGAGGGAATATTACTACACTAAATGATTGAACTTAGCTATGATTAACTATATGACTGAATTTATGTCTCATTTGGTTGTCAAAATAAAATTAAAATAATTAAATAATTTGATGAAACCCAATTATATTATTAGACATTCGATGTTTCAAGAAAAAACATGCCTGCAAGTCAAAATAAACAATGATAACATAATATTTGACGGTCGATCCGACAAGTTATCGGGAATACCAAGCATCAAACAACGTCCTTTTATTTAGTTAATCATTGCTAATCTCCCCAACCAAACGAGGCCTTAGTTTGATGTTTAGTATCCACTATCCTCAATAACTTGCTGAATCGACCTACAAATGTTATGTTATTATGGCTTATCTTCAGGAATAATTTCTTATTGGATGAGCGAATGTCCAATAATATAATTGAGTTTCATTAGATTTTTTTAATTTTATTTTGACTAATTTTATGTTGCCAACCAAACGAGTCCTAACACTACAATTCTTTTCGGGTAAATATTGTTACACCATATTACGTAGCCAATGTTTCTAATGTTTTGGAACGTAATTTGATTCCATTTTCCCTTTCTTCTATACTTGTATTCCCCAAACGACGACGTTTCAGGGTTTTTTTTTTTTCCTTCCTTCCTTCGGTGTCAGCTTTATTCTACGTTTAATTTTGCTGGATTTCTCTTTACTCATCTGTTGAATTTTGAAACATAAAACTGTGAATTCGCTGCTCGGGGTCAAAATTCGGGGTGCCGGAACCTCATGAAAATGCTCGTACAGCTTAGTACCTATTATATATACTCACATGCCGGTGACATAAGAAGGGTGTTGCACAATAGCAGCACAACCATCGATACGAAATCGAAACATCCATGTTTGATAACAAACATAAACGAAACCCGATCCATTCTTGCAAAAAATCTTTGATTGAATGATAGAATAAAAATAAATATTAAGTTCTCCCTTCTTTCTTTTGGTTTGTTTTTTCTCTTATATGTGAATGAGAAACA